TTGATTGCTCACATTGGAGTTTCAGAAAGAGACCCTGTGACCAAGTGTCACTGCTGCTGAGTGAAGCTGTGGTGTTGCAGAGGTGGAGCAGGAAGGGTGAGCAGTGGTACAGGCACATGCTGCACAGCCACAGCAGCATCAAAAGAATCAGCCTGAATTATAGATCAGCCACATCAACTACTGGCTTCACAATTGCAGTGCCAAGGAAAGCTGTTGAGTAAATAACGTGCAAAGGTGTGGAATGCAAGAGCAGCCTGTGATATAAAACCCCAGGGCAATATTTGTACAAGTCCAACCCATTTGTGAGCACAGCAAAGCTTTTTAGTGCCACTCTGTGCTGTCTCAAAGACATGACAGCAGCTGCAGAGCATCACCATCACGGGTTACTTTTAGCAGCTTTCCCTTTCCTTCTCAGTATGTCGTAGTCACATCATGACAGTTTTGCCTTTGCAGGCATTAGGTCTGAACAAGAGAGAGATACAAATGTCAAGCGAGACTTGATTTGTATGTTCTTCTCAAGTGATTGTTTAAGAAACTCAAATTAAGAATTCACACAAGTTCAGCTTCTTTACTGCCCTCAGAGAATTTAAGTCAGAGCTCTTGCAAGATTGCCTATTGTCTTGAAAGGACTTTGGACCAGGCCCAAAACAGCCATGGCAGGGCTCTGTGCAATAATTTCTGAAGTTAATCACAGAGCATGCGTGCAAGAAAGGTGAGTGACAAAGTCCCACCTAAAGTCCTGTTCTACAGCTACTGCTGTTAGTAGCCTCTGAGAATCCAAGGGTTATGCATCACTTTAAACTGCTTCTCCAAGGGTGAGAATTATTAAACATGGAAAAGAGAGAACAGCATGCTGATTTGACATAATCATTTCAGCAGCTGCCTGCTCTGCAAATGCTGTTGATTCTTAGGGATGTTGCTGATAGTTGCCAAAATTATGACTGCTAGAGAGGCAAGGAGTGGAAGCACAAATTAAAACACTTGGGAATCATTCTGTCTCAGGTCTGTAATAGTCTGCATTCATTGTCTCTTGGAGGTGTTTTATTGAAACCCTCTCTCTTCACTCCCTCCCCCAGTAATTACCCTGTTGTAAATTCACAGTGTGTGAAAGTGCTTCAATTTGAAACCCATGCTATACCAAATTGTTCACATCCATGCCAGTCATTCTCTGCTACATGAAGCCTGGAAAAAACATTGCTTTCGTATTTTTATCAGAAAAAAAACCCCGAGGGCTGTTGTTTTCTTGGAATGCTCTGAGTGAGCATATGTACTCCATAAAACCACTTCTGGTGTGTCAGTTCATTTTCTGGAGTGTCAGTGAATCTTGAAGAGTGGTCTCTTAATGACATCTCAAAGCTTTAGTTAGATTCTAGAAAATCAGAGGAGCAGCTTTTTGCTGCTGAGATAGGGAAGGACTTCCAAGTGCATTTGTCAAGACACCACATTAATGTGACCCTCTCCACTCCCCAAATCACCTTGCCATAGCCTGTTTTGCAGTGCAATTGCAGGAGGAGGCTTTCCACCAGCATTACAAAATGCCTTCAATTTCCTTTCCAATCCAGATAATGATTCTGTTTGCTGATTTCCCACTGGGATTTAAAAGGGAATCTGTAGAGCCAGGCAACTTCTATATGCCCTTCCTCACTGCTTATTCAGAAAGGCTCTGTGGCTAATATATATGTATGTGTGCTGAGCTGGTGCCTTCTCTGCTCTCAACTCCATAGCCAGGGGCAAAACTCAGAGATACTGGTGTCAGCTGCAGCCTTTAGTTATCTTCAGATTAAACCCCTAGAGAGGGCAAGAAGGGCAGAACTGTGAAGGGTGAGCTTGTCTCCACCTCCATGGGCCAGATAAGGACAGCAGGAGCAATTGTATTAACTCATTCACTTCCCTATGGAATTGCTATCACCTTACCACGGGCATCAAGGGTAGCATCCTGAAAATGCAAAGGAAAGCATTTCTGCCTTATTAGCCCCACTTTTATGCTATCAGGAGGGGATCCAACTGTGTATTAGTTTTTTACTCAGTCTGCACAAGGCAAACCAATTGATTTTTTAAAATAACAGATTTTGCATAAAGCAGCTAATTGCTGGGTATTGGTGGCAGTGAGATGAACTCACCTGGAGCAATCTTCTAGACACAAAAATCTCTGTATCCAGTCTCCTGGGTCACCTACTTCTCCCTGCAGGTCTTCTTTAACTTGCTGCTTCTCCTCCTCACTGTATTGTATTGCTTAATGAAACCTGGGGAAGGGAAGAGTGGCTTACACAGAGAGGCAATTTACAAGGTACAAGCAGCACAAAGAAGAAATAAAAAACAAGTAACCCTGAGATCACATAGGTGTGAGAGACATACAAATGCATAATGTCGGTCATAGCTCTCATTGTTTTCATATCTATGAGATCATTAAGACATTTCTAAGTCCCTTGAGTCCATGACATGCAAGCCCAGGATATAATAAGCAGAGATGAATTAACTGCAGGATACATTGATGAACAAAATGAAATAAAGTCCTTTTATTGTACAAGGGGAAATACTTTGTGTTAAACAGTGGACACATCAATTCAAATCATGGCTCATGCTGCATAAATGATAATGAGACTGTCTCAGGCTGATTGAGAATGCTGAAGGGAGCAAAGACACCCACGTGCTGCTGCATCCAAACAGAGCTTATCGTTCAGCTGGGACAGTGGAATTTGTCTTCGTAACATTTCTCCTTTGATAGATACCTGTCTTGGCAGAAGGGCATCCTAATGCACTTCACACACAGCACTGAGCCAGCAATATGGTTATTCAGTCTATCTTCTCAACTCAAGTGTCATATATTTTTGTCATTTACGTTGAAATCCAGTCATTCCTTGACAATACTGGAACCACAAGCATTGATCTCATTTGATACCACTCCCTCTGTAGATAGAGACAGGACTTCCCTGCAAGACACAATAATGGAAGTGAAGTCACAGTTCATGTGTCATGTGGCAATAGACGAGTTATATTTCAATCTTTCATTTGAAAGTGACACATTCAGAGATTCCTGAGGGGACTTTCACAGCCTTTTTGGGTTTTATACTATTGTTCTGAGTTATGCAGCCAGTCAGTTTTAACCTGATGCTTCCTAGCATTTTCTAGGTCATTTCATTTTGGCATTCAATGCTTTGCCTTGGGAAATCTTGAAGTATGATGCATACAAGCAGTCAATAGCACTCAGGACATGGTCAAGGACAGGCTGGATAGCACATTTGTGGCTTGTTTGAGAATGTCTGGTGGTAGGTTCAGCATTGCACAATTCTCACTGCTTGAACTGGAAATGAGACTGAAGGATGACTCATGCATTTTCACATCCAGGTTCTGCAATGAACCTCTGACCCTCTGCATTTCTTAGAGGCTCCATCTTTTCTGTAATGAGGAATAATGACAAGAAAGCAACTGACCTAGTAAGACATTGCAGTCTTACACTGCAGACAGCACACATTAGGCAAGGATGGGAGGGTTTGAGAAGTGTCTTCCTGACCTCTGGGTTCTGTTATTTCATTTGCCAGACGTGAGGAGAAGGCTGCTGGTATGAACTGGACAGGAAATGGTAAGTTATAGCTGAACTGTGTGGTGTTGAATTAGTTGCTTACCAACTCCTCTAGCTCTAAAATGAAACCAGCTTTCTTTCGGAATAAGAAATTAAAAACTTGTTATTTGTACCAGGTTTTTAGGCAAAGGGTTCAGTCATCTAGGGCCAAAGGAAGCAACTAAATACGTGCCAGCCATCCTAGCTACCTGGCTCAACCCCTAAGACTGACCTTGACTTAGCTGTTAGATGACATAGCTAAACACAATTAGCATCTTAAAATAACCTTTCTATTGGTGTCTATCAACAGTTTCTGTCACTCCTCACTCTTTGGTCACATACTGATATATGCACAAAAACTCTTCCTGCAGAAAGCTGCTAAGTCCTTTGCACACATTAGCTTTCCCAGACACTGATTACAGTCAAAGTATAACGTCCAACCTTGTCTCACTACATTGCATGTGCAAGCAGCAGGAAGAGTTCGGCTGGGTTTTTGGAGTCAACAAACTGACCTGTGCATATTTTTAACTTAGTGGTGGCTTTGGAAACAAAGTCACAGAATTGTTAGGGTTGGAAGGGGCCTCTGGAGACTCCAACTCCCTGCCGCCCCCTCCTCCTGCCAAGGCAGGGTCACCTGGAGCAGGTGACACAGGACCGTGTCCAGTGGGGTTAGAAATGTCTCCAGAGAGACTCCGTGCTCTTCCTGGGTAGCCTGTCCCAGTGCCCTGCCACCCTCAGCATAAAGTTGTTCTTTCTCGTGTTGAGCTGGAACTTCTGGTGGTATATTTTATGCCAAGTGACTGGGCACCACTGAGGAGACTCTGGCACTATCCCCGTGGCACCTGCCTCCGAGGCATTCACGAGATAAAAGCCGTGTGGTTCACATCAGGCGGGCAGAGCACCCGGACTGCCTCCTCCACTGGAACGCGTCTGACCAGCTCCCACTGACCAGCTCCGGGTCAGCGAACTCCAACAAGGGCCCCGCAGCTGCGGCCGGGCCCCCCGGAACCGCCGGGCACCGAGCAGGGCCGGGCAGGGACCAGCAAGGACCAGCAGGGCCCAGCAGGGCCCAGCAGGACCGAGCAGGGCCGAGCAGTACCGAGCTTGACCGGGCAGGGCCGGACAGGGCCGGGCAAGGCCGAGCGGAGCCGGACAGGGCCGAGCAGGGCCGAGCGGGGCCGAGCGGGGCCGAGCAGGGCGGGACCGGGGGCGGTGTCCCGGCTCCCTCCGCCCTTGGCAGTCCCCGGGCCCGGCCCTGCCCCACGTGAGCGGCCCCGCCGGCGGTGCCGGGGCTGCTGCGATGGAGCTGCCGGCCGTCAGCCTCAAGGTAGGGGCTTGCCCTGCCCCCGGGGCTCGGGAGCGGGGCCGGGGCAGCGGGAGGGCGGCTGGGGGCTGCCGGGGCGGGCTGAGCCGCGGGGACTCGGACCGGCCCTCGCTGTACCCCTGCTCTCCTCTCGCATGTTCTCCAGCCTGGTCCGCATTCTGGCTGAGGCCCTGCTCGGAGCTGCGGAGATCTCTGAGGAGGAAAAACTGAAGTTCCTACTTTTTTTAATCACATGGGCAAAGGCTGCAGAAGTTCTGAACGCCATGAATTTGAGTCGAGGGAGGTTTAGGTTGGATATCACGAAAATGTTTTCCTCAGAGGGTGAACAGGCACTGAACAGGCTCCCCAGGGCAGTGGTCACAGCACCAAGCCTGTCTGAGTTCAAGGAGCATTTGGACAACGCTCTCAAGCACAGGCTGGAATTCTTGGGATGTCTTGTGCAGGGCCAGGAGTTGGTGATCCTGATGGGTCCCTTCCAACTCAGTGTATTCTATGATTCTTGGTTAAACCCACCAGGCGATGACTCCGAAGTTTGCCCTTACTTCAGGGATATTGCTAAAATGGTCAAGGACTGAGCAGAGACAACAGCTGGTTTTAAATCATGTTCATGGTGGTTTCCAGCTCACCTGACCAGAGCTAAGCCAAGATAAACACTGCACAAGATCTTGAGGAGACAAAGTTTTTGCTTGTCAAGCAAAGTATCTTAGAAAAATAAGCCCCCTTGGTTGGGGGTTATCATCTGACAGATAACTGCAATTGCTTCTCTGCGGGGAGGGCAGGCTCCACTTGAGTGTACTTTGAAAATTTCAGTGAATATCTGATAACCAGAGAAAGGAGATATAAGAGACTTAACCACTTACATTTTTCACTTTTGGAAGAAGCACTACCTTGCTGACAAGCCAGTGGATGTTAAAATCACACTTTGCTTTTGATGTTGATGTTTGATTCTGATGTCTTCTGTGCTACCAGACTTGTTACATTTTCCTCTATTTTTTTTTTGTCTTTCGCATTTTCAGAGCCCTGAGATTTCTAGGTGTGTGCGTCCTTTCCCAGCTTCTCTACTTTGTGATTTTATTTAATACGGCATGGCTCAGGTGCTTTCTTTGGTTAAAGCTTTGCCTAGAGAGTGAAAGCATCACAGATCACATCAGGATTTTTTTTGCTGATGATTCGTTAAGCTGTGAGCAGTGGCGTTGGACCAGGCTGCCTATGGGTTGGATGGGAGAGCAGTATTATCTCAGCTACCTTTATTAATTCAGCTTTGTACAGGACAGTTTTCATGTGGCTCTATTAAAGAAAAGATTGGTGTTCATATAATGATGAATACCCCTCTTACTAGTTCACCAAGAAAAGCAACTTCTCTTGTTAGAGGCAAGGAAGCAAATGGATTTTTCAAGGCCTGGCATGTGGATTATATTACATTCTGGAAACTAGCTGATACTTTGCTCTGACAAGTTTGGACTATTGTGTGATTCCCAGGGCACCAGGAAGATTAAAAGATCTTGCCTTCTGCTTTGTTTTTTAAATTGGTTTGATTTTTTTTTCCCATGCTAAAACAACAGTGAAAACTAAGGACATTTAATTTAAAAGTTTACCAACACGAAATACATGTTCTACTACAGGAAATGGAGATAGGGGAGCTGAAAAACACTGACTTTTCAATTAATGAATCACAAAACTAAAATGTTGCCTTTCTTCTCTCGTTTCACACAACTATTCCCCAATCTCTTACAAGTTAAGTGTGAGTTTATCCTGGGTGAACTGTTTTCAGCATTAAGAAATCCCTTGTTGTCGAGTCTGCTGTTTCTGCTTTGAGCTGCAGACAGGAATAGGGAGTTAGTAGTTGTACCTACACTTCACACTGTTCCTGAGTTAGAGCCTGATTCCCTGGAAAATACCACAAAGGTGAGGAAGATTTTTACTCAGAAGGGGCCTGGAAGTAACACACCCTGCTACTATTCATTGGCATGATCTGCTTACTGGTTCTGTGAGATTTAAAGATGAGCCTCATGATCGAAGTAGTTCCAAGAAAGCTGCATGACTGAGCTGTGTTTGTGCCAGAATGTAGCAGTATCTTAGCCTCGGGATCTCTCTTTAAGCTTCTTGCAGAGCTATAAAATTAATGTAGCAGGGAGTGGGTGAGGAACATGCTCATTGAGCAGGATCTACTGGCTCGGTTCTAACAGCCATGCTCAGCAAAACACGGGGGAAGCAGCACAGCCATGCTTCTGCCATGACAGCTTGACACCTACCTGTGATTATTGAGATAATCATGCAGAGCCTCGAAATACAATGTTTGACTTTGATCAAGCCTGGACAATACCCTACAGTCCATGTGCCTGGAAACACACATTTTGTGCCTTGGCATTTTTAAATGCTAAGTCACAGAATCAAGGAATAATAGAGATATCTGTATGCCATGTGATTAAACCTCCTGCTCAAAGCAAGGCAAACTGCAAAGTTAGATCAAATAGCTCAACTCAAAAATCAGCTGAGTTTTAAAATAAGAACAGAGCCATGACAGCCCCATTGGATATCCTGTCCCACTGCTTAAGCACTCTCATTATTATCACTGTGTTATAATAATGAGGCACATCCTCACAGGTGGCCACTCAGATTCATATTTTGGTTTTGTGTGTTCTCAGGTGAATGTCAGTCATAGAGTAGGTGAGCTCACTCTAAAATAAAGTAAGTAAAATAGAAATTTAGATACAGCAAGTAAACATGTAATTGTAATATGGAGCTGTTTCATTTTTAACTTGGTCAAAATTCAACCTTATGCTAAGTTCTGTGCTGAAGAATGTTTAAAGGAGTTCCTATTCCAAAGAATTTCTCATCTAATGAGACCCTGGCAGACCTAGGCTGTTTTTATGTTTGGCAATTAGTTCCATCACATGCTGAGATTTGCAAAGAACGTAGGAATTCTCCTTAGCTCTCCCCAGTTTCCAATGGGATGCATTTAATTGCATAGACATCCTTTTTCCCAGAAGAGATGGGACAAAGGACCACCTTTCTTATTTTCTGTTCTCCCCACTGGTTCAAGTCTTTTTCTCAAAAGAAGAAATGTATGTCTGTTTTAGCTACAGATTTAGGTCTTTGGACAGATGGAAAAATTTTTAATTCTTCTGCTGTTTTATCAGGAGACTGCTTGCAAATTAACTAATCTCACATAGTAACTGTAGCTTTTCATTAACACTATATTTTCTATGCTAAAGCATACCAATACCACCAGCCAATTCCATAGTGTGCTGAAGAACTGTCAGGTAAATTGGACTAATAACTAAAAAGGGAATATCTTGGTTTTATTTCAGCAGTCTCTCATAGTACCAGCCCTAGTTTACCTGACTTTATGCTGATGACTAAACATACTTCATAATTTAGTAACTGCAGTATTGATCTAGGCAGCTTTAAAAAAAAACCCCACTCTGCCTAATTATGTTAACTGGTGAGCCTTGAGAGGTCTTGCAGGTATGTAACATGCAATTAAATACTAGCTAATTAAGAATTTTCCTGATGTTGTGATAGTCTCTTGAGTAAATGCTATTTGCATGTGTCCATTCTTATCCAGGATTTTACTGATTAGCAGTTTTTCCATTGTGTCCGTGGTACAGTTTGAGAGAAGGGGAAGCGTGAGGGGTGGTGAAGCGTTTTGTAAGCTTTCATGAAGAACCAAAAAAATTAATAAAAGTCTGTCTAAGCAGTGTTGGAAGATACAGCAAAGCCTAGTGAGTGCTCAGCAGCTGTGATGGGGCACTGCACTGAAGGAGCAGCAGGAAGTAAATCATTTGCATTGTGGTGTCCTGGTAGAGCAGCGTGACCCCCAGCAGCCGGGCCACCCCTGTGCTCTCCTGATTGTGCTTCACTTATGGCTTCACTCTCTTCTCCAGCAACTAGTTTTGTTTGCAGTGAGAGCATGGAGAGATGTTTTAAGTCAAGGAATCTAGCAGGGTGTCAGTAGATCTTAATTTCTTTTTTGTGTCTTAATGCTCCTATCTGCATACAGCTTTCCTGTGTCCATGGAGTAACTTAGGCTTTTGGTACGTACTCATTTCCCAATTTTCTTTTTTTCCTTTGGGGGGGAGTGTGCTTCAGAGGAGTTTTGGTAATGTGGGTTTGGTTTTTTTAATACCAAGGCCAGCAAAAATGTCAATTTGAAGCCTTTCTCACAGCTAGGAAAAAATTAAAACGTGCCTTGATCCCATGGATCCTCTGATATGTCCAGGCTTCAGCCTTTCTTTAGTGAGGCTGTTTATAGAGCCTGTCTTCCATATTCTTGTTTTCACAAATGTTCAGAGAACAAATATGAATGATCTCCCTTTGTTGGAGTGACCAGCAGCCTTTAGATGTAGAAAAAGCCTGAAGTGATATATTGTTGTTCTCATTTGCTCTCTGAATAAACATGGATGGTATGTTTCCTTGGTTACAAAAAATGGCAAGTGGTGGTAAAGAGAATCCTTCTCTCACTTATTACAGTAAGATCCTTTCTTCTTGGATTTGTCCCATTAAGCACAAGGACTGGGATCATTAAGGACACTTGCAAAGTACAGAATTTGTGACAGCACTATCACTGCTGCTCAGGGCACTGTTGGCATTTGGACCTGATGGCTTCACTGGGAGTGAAAAGAGCTGTGTGCTCTGGCAGGATCAGAGTTCACAGACTCCTGGAAGAAGCCTTCAGGTCTGTTAATACTTCAGTGAGGTTGGACCACTGTTCTAAACAGACTGGAAGGAGGTAAAAGAAGGATTTGCTGAGAACTGGAATGAAATTCTGGGAACAGCAGGCACTGCTATCCATGGGCTTTTTGGTGATGGGATGTCAGATTGGTCATGTATAAACTGTGCTAGCACAGCATGAATCAGATTGCCTGGCTTTCTGTGCTAACTCTTCTGGAGTTCCATAATTAATAACCCATTTAGAAAAGACTAAATAGTCCTCAAATCAGCTGTTGACAGAGATGACAAGAAGAAGGAATGTCTACAGTGTAGCACCACAGGACATACTCAGCAACAGATGTGGAGAAAAATGGCTTTGTCTTCACTGTCTCAATAGCCTCACCATCTTTCTGCACTGGTTCACGGGTCCAGGCCACTCTCCCACCCATCCCTTGGGGACAAGATGGTGCTGTTTCACACTGATCCTCCCAGACTTCTCCCAACATGCTGACCTGTTTTCCTGTTTTGTTTTTTTTTCGTAGGCTATCATTCTGGTACATTGGCTGCTCACAGTGTGGTGAGTGATTAGTTTCTGGCCTGGGGGAGAAGAGGGTATTCCTTCAAACTAGGAATGGGATGTTCCCTGGGAATCAGCACTCCCTGTTTCTGCCTGTGTGCAAGAAGATCCTAAATCTGAGGTGTTTGTATGGGAATAGGGATGAAACCAAACTGTTGCAGGCTTATTGTGAATGTGAGCTGGGTTTTTTTTGTCTCATTTGACAGGGGATGCATGAATTACATGTTGCCAGTCTCCTATGCCTGGGGAAATTTCACTGTCCTTGCAGTGGGAATCTGGGCCATTGTACAGAGAGATTCCCTTGATGCCATAACAATGGTGAGTTTAAGAGTATTGGTCTCCCCCAGGCTGCTCAGAAAGAGGGTGGAGGGCAGAGTCTTTGAGCCAGTGATGATTTTCAGCTGTTCCCAATACAGCAGTTCCCAGTTTGGGTGGGTTTGGGTATTTTTTTTAAGAGCGCATATAAATTTATGAGATCTGTAAACCATAGTGAGAAGCATTCATTGCCAATTATTTGACTTTTCAGAGATGAGAAATACTTGATTCTTCCTTTATTTACCTGCTGTTGTACCTTGTAATGCCAGATGAGGACTCAAAGTGTTTAATATGCTTGAGTTGGAGGGGCTTTGTAAAACCCTTTTCTGAACATTGAATAGATTGGCAAAGGAAAATAAACAATTCTAGAATATATTATGAGAAGATATCTATCTGACAGGAAAAAGCACGAAATACAAGATCATTCATCTAGGAGTATCTGCCTGAGGCAGTACCAAGAGTGCTGTGTGGTACTGGGGTGAAGGATGGTTGTGCAACATAGATGTCACAGGAAACAGAGTCTGACTGTTACTGTCAGTGGTTAAACCCTTGTTATATTCATGTCCCATTCTCTGTCCTTGTTTCCAGTTCTTGACTGGCCTGCTGCTCACAGTCCTCACAGACATCATTCACATCTCTATCTTCTACCCTTCACATGACTTCTCCAGTGATGCAAAGCGTTTCAGTATAGGCATGGCCATCTTCAGTCTCCTCCTCAAGCCCGTGTCCTGCTATTTGGTGTACCGAATGTATCGGGAGCGTGGAGGAGAGTACACCTTTAACATAGGTAGGATGCTTTTCTGCTTCCATGTCAGTGTGAGCCACCTCCTCAGGACTGCCTTGGACCCTGAATCCAGCCTGAGCTCTGTGCAACTGCATTCTGCCCTCCTTTCTAGGCAGACAGGGTGCTTGCTCTGTCTTGCTCATGTTTGTTCTCTCATTTTGTGGTTCTGGTGTGTCTTTGGCCTTAAATTTATATTCTTCCTCTCTCCCTTTGCAGACCTGAAGTTTTTGACAGCCATTTTGCCCACAATGGTGTTGGGAGGCTTTTTCTCTCTTTCTCCTCCTGCATTTGTGTGTGTTTGTTGGAAACTTTTGGAAGTCCTTTCTTTGTCAACCCTTTCTTCTGGGGGAAGGTAGTGGCAGTATTTCCTCTGGCTGGATTATAAGCAAGAGGGAAGTAAAGCTGGATTTCTAACTCCATGCTTTCTGTGGGCCTTACATGTCCAATTTACCTTGATTGCTTTGGACTTTGTTCCTCACATGGAAAATGGGACTAATGTTTACCTCATTGGAGTTAGCTTGGAGACAATTAATTTTTCCCCTGGTTGTATTTGATAATGATAATGTGGAAGATATGCCAGAGAGGATGGGCTGTGGCTAGATGTTCTGGGTCTTGGTCAGCTTTGCCAAGCATTCCTGATACTAGTTCATGCCTGGGCAGCTTCCAGGGTTTGATTGTTTGCCAGGAATTGTTTGAATTCAAGCTGGCAAAACCTGCAGCCTGTTACAGTTCTGTTTGTCATCTTAAGAAGGCTGTGCAGGACAAAAGATGGTGTACTTGCATTACAGTGTCTGGAAGCTGTCTCTTATTCTGCTTTCGTGGTAGCAAAGATCACACTCCTGTGAAAAGAGGTGGAAACTTGCAGAAGAGGGGAAACCATGGCTTAGGGCACTGTGTGCTATTTGCACCTCTCTGCTAGTGGAGTGTTGGTGTTGTCTCTGCCAGCTACTTGTGAAAATCCAGATGGATGGGTCTTACCTGGGTCAGGAGGCATGTGAGTCACATGCTGTGCCTTTTTTGTGTCAGTTTTTATTCGGTGCTCACTGTGCTTGTCATTGGGATTCAACATGTGTATCCCATAGAAAGTACAGGTATCACTGAGGAGTCAATCCCTTCGCTTGGAATTTGGCAGCACTTCTTTTCAACCACACTATCCCAAACCAAAAGCCTCCTCTCAGACACAGGTGGGAATTCAGACACTCTAGTTTCATACCCTCTCCTGAACTGTCTTTCTTACAAGATTTTCAGTAGCGTGTGTTATTTTGTGCTGAATGTGCTTGACAAATTTCCTCTCATTTTCCTGCTATCTGGCATTTTCTTTTGAACCCAGCAGTGTTGAAATTTTCCTGGCCTTTTCTGTCTTGTTTTCCTTCTACACGAAGTCCCTCTTTGTTGCTTGGGAAAGTCCTTGCTGCTTAGAACAAATCCCTCATAGTCTGGTGGCTATCTGTAATTCAGGTTGCTTTCTCTCCATGGTGAATGCCTGGCCCATAGATGAAGAGCTGTCCATGCACATTCTCTGCCTCCTCTTTCCCTGCTCATCCCCTGGACAGTAACATGATTTTGCAGTCAAATTGTTTGTAGTGCAGTTAGGAGCACTGTTTGATTCAAATTTGGTGCCACACTTGAGGCATAGCTGTATTGTTGGGAAGAGTGGTTCGTGGATGTATCATGCCTTCAAATCTGTCAGATCTGTCAGGTAGCCATGATTCCTGCAGCTTCTGGCTCTGTCTCTTCATTTTTCCATGAGTTCTCATACACTTTATCTTGCTGAAATACAGTTACAGGAACCTGTTGTGCTGCTATGGGGTATTGTGGGTCTTGTTTTCCACACAGCCATGTGGCTACTAAGAGAGTGGTTCTCAAAGAGAGAATAGGCGTGTTGGAAGGATGACTGTTCTTCCCTCCTGCCTGTTTAGTGAGGATCACAGTCCCCAGGTGCTGGGAGCTGGTAAAAGGTGTGCTCCTGAGCTGTTGGTTTCTTCTAGAGCATTCAGTTCTCGTGCCTTTGCCTTTGTCCCAAGCTTGTTCTCTTCCATTTCCATTCAGGTGCAGGTGGTGCAGGCCAGGACCGCAGCACCTACGAGCCCATCGATCAGCCAGAGGCTCCTCCACAATGGCCTTCCTCGAGCAAGGCAGCCCAGCCACAGTACTGAGGCACCCTGCAGTGCAGGACACACACTGCCCTCACCAGCCAGGCCTTCCACTCCTCCCATGGAGCAGCACCTGCTACTGGGCAAACAGGAGAAGATCTGATATTTCTTTTGCCTACCTAAAGGTTAGGCAGATGGGTTCTGCAGTAAGTCCAGAAGATCTTGGAGGTGTTATGTTAAGCACTGTGACTCACTGTATAATCCCAGTACTCTCCTTTCCTTCCTCCCCCTAAATCCCTCCTCTGTACATGTGTTTGGATGCACCTTCTGCAATCTTCCAGTCTTTCATTGTGTTTCTTCTTTGTTATAAGAGAACCACTCAAAGTACTCTTGGACAAGCAATCTTTGAAAGGCTTATGGACTGCCCTTAAACAATACAGTATATCCTGATTTTATGCAGATATATTTTCAGGAAACATCTAGGAGTTCTCAAGAGCTGTTTTTGATGGCATTATTTAACTTCCTGTGCTCCCAGTATCTGGTATTGGGTTTTATTAACTGATGCTTTTATGCAAGCCAAATGTCCTTCAGGATACTTCAAATGACTCTTGAATGTAGATCATAGATCCTTTGTGCCTTGAAATAGCCTTTTGCCTTCACCTGCTTGTCTTAACAGAACTTGAAATGTTACGTTTTTCTAAGAAAACTATAAAATGAACACAGGTTTTCTGTGTTAGAAAAAGTTACACTGGTCACTTATGTCTCATTTGAAAATGTAGCCTTTTCCTGAGGGCTTGGGACTGTAGCCAGGCAGTCTGGGAGGGTCATTATGAGGGAGGGTCTGCAGGGCTCTGATGGCTTTTAGCCTAAGCATTACTCTGAGAAGTAGAAGCTACTGCTTATAATTGTGTGGGTGGGAAGATGGGCCAGTAAAATGGGGATTGAGGAAAGATGGATTTATTTACACTGTAGGTGTTCCATTGAGTGTGACAAACTATAAACTCTGTTGTTATGCAAGATAAATTCATCCTGCTGCGGCTTTCAGGTAAGATTCTAAAAAAAGAAAACCAACCAAACAAAACCCCCAGAAGCAAACAAACAAACATATTTCAACAGGATTCATTTACAGGAGAAAATGAGTATGTTAGCTTTAGCAGAATTCTAGGGCTAGGAAGATGGGTATTTTCCGGAAGCAAGTACATTTTCAGAGTTTATATTGTTATTTTACAACTGCATTCCTCTTGACAAGACCTGCTGCTGTGTTGATTCTTCAGTAACCAAGACCCCTGTTGACTTTGCTGTAACCTCCAGAAGCATGCCATTTGTATTTTTAAAATCAAGCAGTTTTCTCCCAACTTTGATCACTTCAAACGTAAGCAGATGCTTCCTCTATTCTGCTGCACAAGCACTACAGTGATCTCTTGGTGTACCTGAACCAAGCACATGGTAAATGCCATAGAAGTGTGCATTCTTTTTACAGGCTTTATGTATAATAGGGCACAAGAATAGGAACTGGTCTTTTCTTGTGATTAGGTGTCAAAGAAGGAAAGAGTAGGCAGAAGTTGCTGGGGCTTGTGGAGTTCCATAGCCTTTACGTGAATGGGTTTTTTCAGCTCTTTAGAACAGATCCCTGAATAAGACATTTAAATGCTATGAGGTTTTTTTTACCTAGACCCATGGACCACAGACAGAAAACCACTGCTTTTAATGCTGTGAGGTTTGGGTGTTGGCACAGTTAGTTATATCTAGGGAAGCCTTCCCAGATGTACATTTAGCTGACCTGCCAGGTGTTTTTCTGGGGAAAATTTGGTACCTGTGGGAGCTCTGGGAAGCAGAGCAAGGCATGAGTAACACTCATCTTACAGTGCCTCAAGGATACTTATTCTGGGCAGTTAATCAGAGGTGATGCTGAAAACACACCCGTCTCTTGGCTGAGGAGGAAGGGAGTGTTTGTCTCTAGTTCAGGAGGGCGTGAGGGGATTCAGTGCCAGAGCACGCAGGGCCTCGCTGGCTTCAGGGCGGGGTTCTCGTGGGGTCTCAGCGACGTCTCCTCACCCACAAGGGTGCGATGCTCCATTCGGCTGGTTTTGCTTTGTTTTTTTAAAACCCTCGGGTCCTGCTGTGCCGGGGGTTTCGGTGGTGAGCGGGCAGCTCCATTAGCACTGGTTGGTTTGGGTTCGGGTCTGCGTTCAGGGGAGGAGGAAGAAGAGGAAGACATGGCGCCCGTCCTGAGGCACTGCCCGGGACAGGCACGGCTCCCGCCCGGGATAAACCCTCCCCTCCCGGCTTTAATTAGCCAAGGCCCAGAGCGGCTTTCCCCGGCCATCTGTAGCCCCTGACCGACCTAATCGCGGGGATAAGCCGCTTATGGAGCCCCAGCTGGAGCGGCCGCGGGCGCTCAGGGGGCCGAGGGCGGCGGTGGCCGCGGAGGAAGCGCCGGCTCGGACGCGTGTGGGCAGTCCCCGGGGCCCAGCAGAGCAGCCGGTGCCTCTCGCAGTGGGTAAACGGAGCCCAGTGCTGCCTCTCGCAGTGGGTAAATGGAGCCCAGTGCTGCCTCTCGCAGTGGGTAAATGGAGCCCAGTGCTGCCTCTCGCAGTGGGTAAATGGACCCCAGTGCTGCCTCTCGCAGTGAGTAAGTGGACCCCAGTGCTGCCTTTCACAGTGGGTAAATGGAGCCCAGTGCTGCCTCTCGCAGTGGGTGAGTGAGGCTGACTGGTGCCTCTCGCAGTGGGTGAGTGAGGCTGACTGGTGCCTCTCGCAGTGGGTGAGTGAGGCTGACTGGTGCCTCTCGCAGTGGGTAAGTGAGGCTGACTGGTGCCTCTCGCAGTGGGTAAGTGAGGCTGACTGGTGCCTCTCGCAGTGGGTAAGTGCAGCCGTCGGGGTTCCTGAGCGAGCCTGGGCCGTGGGCGAGTGTCGGGTTGTGGTGGTTTTCTTTAAAGAGCCGAGCAGCTAATAGTTGCTATAAAGTTGTTTATTGTAAAGGCGCATCTCAAAAGGCAAAGAGTCACAAGTGTTAAAGTCCATGCTAAAGTTTTTGGTAAAGAGTCCTAAATAGAAGTAAAGGCCCAATTAGAAGCAGAAGCTGCTCCTGTTGAGTCCTGGCAGGGCTGGTGTTGCTGTGGCAGCTCCTGTCTTCTTCGGGCAGTGATGATGGCAGTGAGGAGAGAAGAAAAGCAAGAGAGCAGGAACAAAAGCAAAAGCAAGAGCGAAAGCCAATCTCTCCCCAGTGCATAGATTCTTATACACAAATTACCCAACAAGCTAAAGACACGAACTCGAACCATTTCTTCTTAACCTATTAGAATTCTAGTTTCTTAGCACGCCAGGTTACATATAAACTATGCACATGGTCTATCTTGTTCTATCTAAAAAATGTAAGCAATATTCTTACTATACTTTTATTATGTGTAAAACTATATTCCTGGAGCCTCTACGCAAGCTTATTTTCAACACTAGTATCTAGCACTATGTTTTTCAGTCTTCATTAGAATTTGCACTTCTACACTGGTATGGACAAAATGGTATAAACCTTTATTCTCTAAAGCACTTAAAACTTATCCTTACTTGCTTGCTTATTCTAAAACTTAAACTTATTCTAAAACACCTCTGCTTTATGTGTGAGTGGCTTAACATACTTCAGTCCATCCAAAGGTTTTAATTCAATCCTTGCACTCTGATTTCTCTCCGAAGAATTCAGAGACTCTTGATTTACAGTCTCTAACAGGCGAGGAGCTTCTCGCTCCCGCTGCTGCACCGTGAGACACCAGTGGGTGCCTGGACGGCAGCGCTGAGGAGGGAACAGCACCTGTGTGTGCCTGTGATGGTTTGTCTGCTCTGTAATGCTGAGCAGTGTTTGGGGAAAAACCTGCTTTCTAAGGCAGCTGCAGTGTACTCTCAGTAATCACTGCCCCCTACATGGAATATGAAATGGATCAGCCTTGGTCTGCAGGGATTGGGAAATAAGCACTGTGTGTGCAGCACAAATGTGTTTATTATGGGTCTGGCATTATTGTCGTATTGCTGAAATGGCTTGAAAGAGCTTGATTTACTTTTCATGAACTGTACTATTTCCTTTTGCTTATATCAAGAAATCACTTGATCATCTTAATTTTGATTTGCTTAATTCAGGTCTTAATGCATTCGTGTGTTGCTGCAAAGTGTGTATATAGTAAGCATGCATAAAGTGTTTTAGTTGGAATAATAAAAACTAATATTAAATGTGTTGGTCGTGGATTTTGCAGTCCATAAAGTGTGCAGTTCGCCTTGAGTATCTCTTTTGGCCTCAGAAAAAGTTTTTAAAAATACCTTAATAAAATCTTGTGAGTGAGATTAACCTTACTGCTAAAAAAGTTATGTTAAAGTCCTGAGTAGCAATTTCAGAAGGCAGACAAACATGGTTTTGAAAGGATGCTATTTCTTCCAGATCTCAATGAGACTGAAATTAGGAATGAGTGAGGTGAGGAACACCACCTGAAATAACCATGGTGATGTGTTGAGAACCTGGTACCTAGCAGAAAGAACTGAAATGGAGAGCTCAAAAAACCACAAGTTATCAAGAAAATGGATTATGTCCAGATTCTTGAGCATTAGATAGTCCAGAGCCAGGTTTTGGGTGTTCACAGAGCAAAACAACGCTGAAAACCATGGTGGGTTTATGTCCTTTTAAATGTCGATTTAAATTGTAACACCCTTTTGTGATACGTTGCTTGTTGATTTGGATATTTCTGGAATGCAAGGAGTGTTTCCATGGAACACCAGTCCACTGCATTTTGTGGTTATATTTAAAGCAGTGATAGACACCCTAAGGAAGGCAGCTGTGCTTTGTCTGTTCACTCTGCAGTTGCCAACTTCAGCTTGTCTGGAAAAAATAATGGGATCTTTCGGTTCCATGGCACCCTTGGTGATATATGAAAGGCAGTAACAGCAGTTCCCAGGGATAATTGCAGCACTGCCTGACTGTCTCCTGCTGCTTTAGGAACTGTGTTTGCTCCCCAGATTGTGGTGATTACTGGAGGAGTTTGCATGTGAGAGGGAAAAATGAGCTGTTGCAAACAGGGACAACTGAGCCTCAAATGCTCTCTTAGAAGAGAATGAGATAAACACAGCTTAGAAACAGTGCAATTTGACAGGAGGCTTTCTAGGATTAGAGTGTGTTTGAAAAAGACAATGGGCATTGATTTCATTGCTGTCTCTTCTCAGATTGACTAGGGGGTTTTAAGATGATAGAGATGTGTGTCTTTATACAATACCATTTTCATTTTTTAAAAGAGAGGTGGAAAAGAATGGTGGTTAGAATGACAGTGATTGACAACTTGCTTTTAAAATCTGAGGGAATGGAAGCACAGTCCTCTCAAATTGCACTTACCTTTTAGCAGCAACTTAAGAATCCATTCTCAGCATGAGTGTTATATGTGTAACCATCAGACTTAGTGGCTAGACTGCAAAGTAGGTCTCTTAGCTGTGCTGCAAATCTTCCAGATTAGGGGACAGTGTGGCTTTTATGGATATGCAAACATGGTTTCATCCTTTAGTGCAGACAAGAAGAAATAAATCCGTGTAGCCTTGAATTTGGCATAACTCAGCCTTGCTAGCAACAAATTCTTTCTGAGGCTGCAGGTGTATAATGCTGGAAGTCTTTGTTTTCCAGGTTTTTTGTTGAGAACTGAATCTGCCCTTTTCAGTCACTCCTGATCTGCCAAATGTGATTGTCTGCTGAAAAACAGGAAGAGAGTAGTGTCCATAACACTTTCAGGACTGAGGCTGGTGGATGAGAGATGAGAAATTCACAAGGAAGGTACCCAAGGTCTTTGGTAAGCTAGGCAAGATGAGATAGGAGATACGCACGGTCCTTTGCTTATATTTCTTCTTCTTTTTCTTCAGAGCAAAGCAACATTCAGAAGAACATGAATTTCAATCTGTATTTGGGCACTAGAAGTCGAGTAGACATTTCTCATCCCTGGTCTGAGGCTGCAGCACTCGGTGTAAGCCCAGAGACAGCAGCACAGGGCTAGCTGTGTGCCACACCTCTGTCAGATGGGAAGAGATCCTAGTCTGAGACAGACTAATCTCTCCTGCCCTTCTCAGCCCTTCCCAGACACTGCCAGCCAGTTCTCCAGTTCCTGCTTGCTGCAGCAGAATTATCTGTGCTGTAGGCTGCAGCAGCACAGCTCTAAGTGTGTGGTTCATAGAGTCCCCATCTTGCTGCGTCAGTGCTCCCTGCTGTGAACCTCCCCCAGAGGCACCTTGAGGCTTGTGTTTTGGAAAGGAGTGAGAGAATTGACTTTCCTCAACAACACCATCAGGAAGCAAAAGCAGCTGGTAGCTGCTCCATAGCCACAGCTCACCATCACTATTCAGAAAGAAGGAACAAGAATTGTGACTATCCAGTGGAGAACCAACAGCATCAGCCTTCTGCTGCTTCTCGTATGGATCCTGTGAGCCCTTTACTGGCCAATGCATATTTGTCATCTCATGCTGCAGATTCCCCTCTTAGGCATGAATTAGTGGTGGGTCCTTCTTTAAGAAGCTCAAGTGAAAGTGTGAACACTTGTCACAGTTCAGCCCTGACCCTGGGAAATCTTGATCCATCTAATTTGGAGTCTGTTCAGCCTCTTTTGCAATCCTCACAGATTTCTGCTAGCTTGCACTGTTCAGTCCAGAGGCTTAAGCAAGAAAGTGCTTTGATGGGGATACGGGGTTCCCTCCCTCTGGAGCCCAAGTCTTCTCCAGTCATTGGCCATTCATGCTTTGCTCCTGATGATTTAGGTCCCAGTATCCTGACCATGGGAGAACAGCTAGCTGCAGTAAAAAACAGTGCTGCTCAGGCAAGATTGAAATGGGGTGTCCCATTTGCTAAAGACTGGAGCCTTAGTGCAGTGACAAGGGACTTCAGTCCTGCTGAGCCTCTCTCTGTCTCTCACAGATATGGATACATTGGCTCAAACACATGGAGAACCAAAATTTCAGGGGGCATCCAACCACAAAGCCTTGTTTCTGGAGTGGGCTCTGGCAGGTTAGTGGATACAGAAGCAGATTCTTCCTTCAATTGCTCCCCTTTCTCCAAAAGCCAGTCCCTGGTAAAGCCACCTCTGGAAACTAGTAGTCTTTATGTACACAGAAAAAGTAATTCTCCTGGAAAGGTTGTTAAAGGAGAACAGACATTTAATGGGGTGTCTCCATGTGTTGAGTCTTGGAAGAAAGACCTTTCAGCCAGTCTGGATCCAGAGGGTCTGCAAGTGTTACTGGAGACAGATTTGGGAGGGGCTCAGATGAATGTCGGTGTAGCCATGTGTGGGACTCCTACAGAAGTGTGTGTGAGCATCACTTCTCATGCTGGAGATAAAGAGTTTAGACCAGGCCATCAGCTTAGTGTTAAATCTATAGAAGTCAACAACTCTCATGTCAAGTGCAGCAAAGAATCAGAAGAGGTGTGTGATTCCAGGTCACAAGCAGCCAGAATGGCTGCAGTGGGCAGCAGCCAGTCCACTCCTTTGGGTACACAGGCTGAAGAAGGCTTTAATGAACATTCTGATGTAGATTGTATGAACATGAGCAGAGAAGGAAGGAGAAACAAATACTCCTACCAGAGCAGCCAAAGCAGCCAGAGGAATTTGGAAGCTGATGGCAATCTCGAGCAGCCTGAAGAATGTTCTGTAGAAAGGAATGCAAGCAAACCACGGTGTTGTGAAGAAGGGAGCCAGACACAGAAAACTGTGCCCAGAGAGGTGAGGGTGTGCTCACTGTGAAGCATCTCTGTTCACAGGTATTACTTGTGCTTGTTTCTGCCACTTGCTAGAGGTGCAGAGTTGAGGTACAAGTGATGGGGATGCTTGTCCTATAGATTTTTTCTTGTTACTGAATGGCCAGAATCTCATCTCTTACATTCTTCATCCTAACATATGCATCTTTCCATCTCACATGCTTCTTCCTAAAGACCAGCTTGTCAACTTGGTTGTCTTGGGAATGTAAACACCCGTTTATATTCTCTGATCTGCATGCTGAGGGAAAGCATTAAACTGGTTTTTACTCTGTGCATTGTTGCAGGGCTCTGAGATTTCGGTCTTTTTATGCCTTTTCATGTCAAAGTAAGGATGTAAGGATATTCACAGAGCAATGGTGTGGGAGCAGTCCAAGGCATCCCACATAATATATGACTTTGAGGCAGTCCTGCTCTGGTCTCCATCCAAAATGATGTGTGCCACAAAGACAAATTGTTAACAGAGTGGAGCACTGTGAATAATTGTGAATTACTGTTTCTTGTCTGTTTGCAGATCTCAGAGATCAGCTTCTGGCCGTTGAAGGTGAATAAGCAAAGGTAAAAAGACTCTGCATTATGTATGAGTGTGCTGGTAGTTAACAGAGGAGCACTTCTGTAAAATGTCTGAGGAGCCATGTCCCTAGGAACATTTGGGTTTAGGACTTAGTCTGCATTTATCTGCTGTGGTTGCCTAAGAGACTGCATCCATTTCTTTTCAAAGGGTTGGCATTTAGAATGGAGCATGAGCTGAAAAATAATTTCTGTATCTTTTCAATGCTATCTTCTAAATTCAGCCTTGGTTGTTGCTACAATGAAGAAGTTGGAACCATTCGTGCTACTCCTCAATGCAGCAAATTCCAGTGTGCTCACTGCACACTTCTGCACAGTTAGAGAAGATCAAGAGCTAGACTTATCCATGAGGTAGAGTTCAAATTTGTGGATAAGATGTGAATGAGGTTTAGCAACAGTGATTTTTTAATTTGGTGTGAGATTGCATGTTTTCCATTCTTTAGAGAGAATGATTTGAAATAACCTCTTTAAAACTTGATGACTGGACTCTGATTGCCACCTCCTGGCTGTTTTAACTTTCCTTTCTGTTAACAGGAACTCACCTCTGTTTTTTGTTTTTAAGTTTCTGTCATTTGTGTGACAAACAAATCCTAACAAGGTGTTTCCAAGCCTGGAGGAGACATATCCTTTGGAAGAGGGCAGCCAGGCAGCTTTACAGACACCAGCTGCTTCAGAAGGCCTTTGGTGCTCTGCAGTGGACTGTGCACCAAAGGAGGACACAATTGGAGGTGGCCCAGCAGAGACATGCTTCAACTCTGCTAGCTGCCAGCTTCCAGAGGGTGAGCACTGGCTAGGGACAGTGGTGCCATGACCTTTCTGCTCTGCAGTCAGAGAAGGCACAAATCCTGTTTGGATAGGGAGGAGGAAGGGGTCCCCTGTGTGAAATTCCCTGATGTAGACCCTGGTCCCAATATTCTGTCTGCAGTTTGTTCTAATTATGTGGTTTCTTCTTCAGTGGAAGGAAGCTGTGGCAAAACAGAGCAAGAAGAAAGCTCTGCAGCCTGAGCCTTACTCCTATACCCAAAGTTCATCAGCGGGGATATTTGGAGTAGGAAGATTAGCAACTATGACAACCTCAGCTCAGCATCAGCTTGCAACAGGATACTCAAAGGAAGTGGAGCAGGCTTGTAGGTAAGCAGAGAGCATTCTCTTTCTGTTATCTTGGACAAAAGGAGGTTTACAAACACAGGGAAATTCTTTTCTCAAATGATTTGTTTCCATGTCCTTGGATGTATTGCTGTGGATAAACACTGCAAGGATTAGTAGTTTAGTGTTAAGAGCTAAACAATCCTATTGCAGAGCTTCTCTGCAGAAGTGTTTGCAGTCTGATTTGAGTGACAGAAATACTCCTGTATTAATTCTTTGCTTCAGGTATCACCTGCATGTGTGATACAGGTGTAAATGAGGTTGGAGTGAGGCAATACTACAGTCTCTAGCAGTAGTAGTGTCTCTACTGTGTGAGGAATGAGTCAATACTGTAGTCTCTAGCAGTAGTTTGACAGTGGAGGTGTCAAAATCCTTTTGTTGAGGCTTCTAATTCTGAAGGCAGAAGAACAAATTGAGACAAAAAGAGAGAGAAAATCCATGTATTCTGTTTTGTGAGTGCCTCTTTGGACAGCTGGATGTTAAGGCATGCTTGTGGCTCTTTCAGGATGGAGGGAGAGCTGTGGACACAGCTTCGTCATAGGCAGAGAGGAGATGGGTTCTGCTGGAGAGTTGAAGCAATCAGAGACATGAGACAGCTGGCTGGTAAGCACACATTCCATAGCCTTGGAACAGCTTGGAGGTATCCACTGTGTCACCAGTTCCTGTGGTTTGTGTCTAGTTGTTGCTTTGAGCTCTTTCAGAATGTGATCCTCCAGGTAGCTGGGCCAGTATCTGTGATGGTGGAGGATGGCCACTCACTGTGTCATACAAGTTTTGCCTCATTCCTTGTATGAATTCAGCTGCAGCATGTGTTGCTCCAGCACTGTGAGCTGCCTTCCTTAAGTGTCCTTCCTCTGGCAGTCGGAGTTAAGCCAGGGAATGTTTGCTGTGTGACACTAAGTTGTTTGAAGCTCTTCTGTTATTTCTCTTCCTGTCAATCTCTTGTGGCCCTTTGACACAGCAGCTTTCAGACTGTGGCGCCTGCAGAAGGAGCTGCTGAGCAAAGAGGAAGCCAGGCTTTTGCAAGCCCGTGCTCTGCTGGAAAAGAAGAAGCTACGAAACATTTTCTGGATGTGGCATTCCCAAAGCTTGGAAATGAAACAGATTCTAACACTGACAACTCAAATCCAAAGAAACTTGGTCTCCCGGTGAGTTGATGAGATCTGGTTTTCATGTGAAAAATCTGTTCACTCTGAAAGTCCAAAGAATAACAGAGCCAACCCAGACAGTAATAGTTGTTCCATCTAAAAGCCATCTATCCTTTTGTTTTAGGAGTTAATAAAGATGAAAGTAGAGGTAGAAACACGAAAAGGAGCTGTTGTGGCCAGAGACATTACGACTTGACTCCTGTGCACTGCCAAATCTTTTTTGTCCTGACTTTTCATGTCCTGAAGGACCAAACCCTAGGGCAGCCACTGTGCTGCTGTGCTCTAAGCATGACAGTGGCTTTTTACTGAAATAAACAAATAGAAGTTCAGGGGACAACTTCTGTCTGTCTTTCCTGAACTAAACCCAGTCTCAGGAATACACATTAGCTTGTATAAGTGGTTTTTAACATTTTCCTTTAATATTCTCAGGTGCTTCAGTACATGGAAAGAGGCTGCTGAGCAGAAGGCACTTGACAGGTGCAACCTGGCCCATCTCAGAGCAGTATCACTGAGGAAGCACTTCCAGCAGTGGGCTGAGATGCTGCAGGTCAGAGGAGGTGATAAGCAGTCGGTGGTGAACTTCTTCCTCCTGCGATGGAGGCGGCATTATGGTGAGCAGTTTGGGGTCTGTGCAGAATCTAGGCTTTAGAGGTGCTTAGGCCCCTTCTTCCTTTTCTTGTATACACTGAAAACAGCCTGTAAACAGAGGGGCTCAGATGATACAGGATATGAACAAACCAGAGTGGGCAGAGCACTGGTTCTGGGTATGTCAAGGAAGCTACAGGGAGGTTTGTCACTCTGCTTCATAAACCTAACAGTAACTCTTAAACCTTGCTGAAAAGAAGCAATTTGAGGGTTGGGCTGGGCTGAATTGGAATGCCATGAGACAAACAACCTCTTGTTCCTTTATGTAACTGGTTAAGGAGCAGTTATAAGCTCAGTAGCTGACAAGACTGTCACCAAGAGGCATGAAGGTCAGACATCGTGGACTGGAGAGAGAGAGTTTCTGGAGAAAACAGTCTACTCTTTTGATGACTTCTGCCAAAAACTGAAGCTGCAGAGGGTATATCTGCTGTGGAAAGCAAGGCTGTGTGAGCATCACAGAGCTGAGTGAGTGCAGAAGAGCCAGTCCCTGGAGCCTGCCCCCATTAGTAGTGTCCACTTGACTTTCTGAACCTTTTGCAAGAACCCCTTTTACCCTATCGTCCGTCATGTCTGTGCTAGTCACCCCCTCTGGTGTTCTTCTGTAACTTTACTATCTCAGTATCTTCTGTCTCAGTTCTTTCTCTCAGACTTTGGAGCAGTGTAAACTCAGAAAAATTCTGAAATTATGGCACCAAAAGTATCTCATGCTGAAGACAATTGAACAAAGTTCTAAGCACTTGCACAGAGCTGTCTATGAGGAAGCTCTTGCCATGCCATTCTCTGAGGACCTCTCAACATCATCTGGCTTTGACAGCAGTGCACCAGCTACTCTGACCTCTCAAAGCTCATTGGAAAAGGTGAGAAGGTCTTGGTACACCCAGACTGCTCTGAGGTATTAAATTGCTGGGATTTCTCAGGGGAAACTTTCTGCTTCAACATTATATTGTTATCAGCAAACTGTGCTTAAAATGTAGTGTTGTGAATCTGTGGGGTGCTGAAGCTGAAATGAAATCTGAAGGTGTAAAGTCAATGCTCCCTGTGCCTTTTCTGGTTCATCATTTAGAGATGTGGGAAGGTGCTGAACTAGTGAGGTTTCCTTGTACACTTGCTTCTGTTTGTGGCTGCAAGGTGGAAGGGATGAGATATAATGAGCTTCCTCACTGAGACAGTGCATATGCCCATTTCCCCTTTTCTCAGTATAGAAACACCTGTATTTCTGGATTCAGGATGGAAATTATTAGTGTAGGAATAACTTTCCCATCACTTACATATTTGCTCTCCAGAGGTGTCATGGCTAGCCTGCAATTCCTTTGGATGCATTCTGGATTTGCCTGAATCCTTGATAAAAAAGGAGTAAATGGCATGGTCAGAGCTGTTAGCTGAGCTCTTGCACTGTGAGAACCTCACCTCACAGCGTGTTCCTCCCTTCATACCTGCAGGAATGCAGTCTCAGTGACAGCAGCCAGCACAGCTTCTCCTCCCTTCTGACTGCTGAGGATGTCACACACGTGTCGTGTCACAGTTCTTTCCTGCAGCTCCACCAGTGCACAGAGCTGCCAGCTAAGCTGCGTGGGGAGCTGTGCTTGCAGACCTCCTTCCCTGCATCTGGGTGAGTTGGAGACTGGTTTTTTTGGGATGCTGTTTGGAGTGGCCCCTTGTTTGGACTTGCTGAATTCCTTCACTCGGAATAATTCCTCATGTCATGTCACACCATCCTTCCAGGGGACTTTATTTTCTTCCTTTTTTTCCCTCCTCACTCAACTCAGAAGAAATTTGTTTGTGGGAAATCCGTTCCAGTCTTTGGTGCTGCAGAGTCCAGATAATAATTCCCAGCCTCTCACCAGTTACTCTGCATGGGAAGAGGTGAGGCTAGAAAGTATTGTGTAAAATGTAAATATACAAGTGTTTGCTGCATATTCAAATTTAGCAAAAAGCCTTGGGTTTCAATATCAACATATGGAAGGTCTCACTGCTATTTTGTCTTTTTTGTTCTCTCTCAAACAGAAGATTTAGGAGATTGAGGCTTTTCTCAGGGTAACTCTTCCCTGCCATTTGTCAACTGAGTTGAAGTAGGGCAGGTGTCAAGGATTTAAAGGGGATGTGTTAGACCCTTGTGTCTGGGTGTTCATGTGGGGTGTGTGGGTTAGCAACAGAGCTGGGAAACCACAGAAGTCACACTGGCAAGGAGGGGTGGCTGAGCTGTGTGGAGTAACTGATATAACAGCAATTCAAGGCCCTTTTTTGCCTTTCTGGATTACAGGGCTGCAGTTCTGACAAGAGTTTCTTGCAGCAAGCAGAGAAGTACTGCCTGCAGAAGTGCTTCATTGTGTGGTCAGCTCAAACTCAGCACCGTGTAAAGGCCCAGCAGTTCTGCAGGCACGCTCGGCTGTCTCGGTAGGGATCATGCTTTCTAGAAGTTTCCTAAAGCTCTCTGTTTTGGAAGTTTTACACTTGCTTTATTAAAAAAGAGGGAAAAATTCTTCCTCTTTTTTTTTTTTTTTTTTTTTGTCTTCAGTGGGAGTTTTGCAGCCCGTTATTTTGGGGTTTTTACAGCTTCAAAATTACTATGCAGGAACACAATAATTTCTGGTTTGATGAAGTGCCTCACAAATCAGAGCAAGCCCAGCTCTACTGATAACAAGTCCTGGTATCTTCCTATCCACTGAACTGGCCTTGCTGTCTATTGATTCCAAAGCTGAAGAGCACAATAGGCTTGGTGCAGCCAGGACAGAACACTTTACTCCCAACAGCTTGTCCTGTCCTTCATTTTCCCTGACATTTAATGGGGAAAGGATGTTAACAGATCAAATAGATCTGTTTTGGAAACAGATGTGTTTCCAAAACTCCCTTGTGTGTATGTTTGTGGTTACATTTTCTGTTACAAAGGTGTGTACCTCTGTGAGTTGTTCCTGCAGTCAGTGCAGCAACCTTTGTCCTTCTCAGAGCCTTTCTCAGCTGGCACCGCTGGGTCATGGAAAATAAGAACCAAAAAGCAGCAGCAGCCCTAAACCATGGAGTTCATTGTTCCCAGATGGCTTTCAGGCTGTGGAGAAGGAGACTGGCCCAGAAAGTGGAAGTTGACCGGAGATTCAGGTGTCATGTTCAGCAGATAACTGCTGATGCTCTGTGGCGTTGGCATTCCTGCTGGCAAAGTGAGTTACCCTATCCCACTGCATCACTTGTGTCTGTAGAAGAGAGCTCTGGGAATGGTTAGGATGGAGAAAGTCTCATTTTTGGCTGTAATTCTGTGCACTGCTGCTCTGGAAAGGCACATACTAGCCCAGGAGTCAGTGTGTATCACTGCATTCTTCTGGCTATCAGTAGGACAGGTGCCCTACTGCTTTGTAGTGCTTTATATTAGGGAAGATGCTCCTTTTGCACATCTACCTGCACTACCAAAAGAGTGTTCAAGCAGTGTATTTTAGCAGCTGTGGAGTTAAATGGAGTTCCATGCAGCATTCCAAGTTTGAACATGTCTCCTCGGACCAAGCAGTCAGGTTTTGCTTCATCAAGAACAGGGTGTATCTTTTGGGTTGGCTTAACAATCCTGTTCCCTCAAGGAATTCCATATGCTCTAAGTACTTACCCTGTGCCAGGGAAGAAAAACCCCCAATTTTTAATGGAAAACTGCCTTGAAGATAAGAGTGGAAGTAATCTGTGATTTCTTGGAGGGAAAATTTGAAAGAAGGTCTGACTGCCTTGCAGACAAAAAACTACAAGGTGAATTGAAAAGTCTCTTTAGCTGCTAAAGAGAGGACAGGAAATCTTAGCAAGTTTGGTCCCATTTGGTGTTTGCAGCAGATATATTCTTTGCTCTTGTCTGGACTCTGCAATGGAGAAACAGGCACTGGGCTGAGCTCAGGAAGGTGTGCTCTCTCACAGGGAAGCGAGCTCTGGGAGATCTGCAGCAGCAATGGGCTTGGCACAGCTGCCAGCAGAAGAAAAGGCTGGTTCTGCAGACATGGTACTACCAAACAAGGAAGCAGAAATATGCTGCTTTATTCTGGGAACGTTTTCTCCTGCACAGGTTTGTTTCTTGCTCTCAAAGCATTTCCAAGGGAAACTCTGCATAAAAAGCAATTTATGTAGCAGTATCCACTGTATTAAGAGCAGAGCTTGGGTGTGAAAGTATGGATAGCTCATGTATAAATGGAACTTCTGTAGGAGCACTTCTCTGAGGATGTGTATATATTCAGGGGTCTCTTACCTAAAGCCTCACACCCCACCTCATTTTTCCCATTCAAAAATTATTTTTCTTACAGAACTTGTATTCAGTCTTTGCTATGCAGGGTGGTATTTGTGCACAGAGGGAGAGATGCAGACAAATTTGTGTAGTTTAAAAACTGAAAGCCTCATTTGCACTTCAGTATTTGCTGAAAGGAATAGTGGGCAGAGATCTAACAGAGATCTGATGTTTAGAAATCTGAGGATTCTGTACATAGTGTGTTGATTTTAATTTAATGTGAAAAATTGAGTTCAATTTGTTCCTGCAGCAAAGCAGTATAAAGCTTATGAAGGGAGAACCATGATCCTGAACTCATCTTGGTGTTATTGCAATATAGGTGAAGCTGTAGTCTGTCTTTGAGTCTTATGTTCTGTTGCAGATTCCAAAACCACAAGAAATTAATTTCTTTTCTCTCTTAATTGTGCTCAGTGGCCTTCTCATTGAAAACAGTTTTGTTTGTGGTTTTTGTTGTATGAGGCCAGTGCTTGCCTGAAGCACAGAGAAGTGTCCAGCTGTAGTGAACCAGGATTGTTGAAGTGTTTCTCTGAAATAATTCAGGAGGATAAGAATGAATAAGATTATTTATGCCAAGGGTTCCTTTAAGGCATGAGGAGTGCAGGTTTAGCCCTAGCAGGTTTTCTTTTGAATGGCAAGTTCAGACTAAGAGGACACAAAGGTCTCAGAGGAAAGAGCAACTAAAGGCCCAGTGAAACTTTGGTGGCTGTGATGTTTAGACTCTGCACTTACCCCACCCAATTGCATTTTCCTCTGCAAATCCATCTGTGTGGCTCCCTCATGGGAATTGTATTTGGGAGAAGCCTTTAATGTTGCTCCTTCCTGTAGAGTATGTCTCCACCATTAATCTTCCTTCTGAGTCCCCTTTGATGAGAGAGTGCTGCTGATTTCTCACCTGGACATGGTAGAGGCTGAGCTCTGTCTCTTCTGAGGGGGGCATTTTTCATGCTAGGATAACCTGCAATAGCTTCCCTTGATCTTCCAAGAAGCCTGCCAGGCACAGGATATTTACACCCCTGCCCTGTGGTGCAGTGGGGTGATTTGCATAATGAAGGCCCAAATGGAGCAAGGAACCAAGAGGATAAACCAGGAGTTAAAAGCAGATTGGATTCTCTGGTTGCATAGGAAGATTGGTCTCCTGTGCATCAGCCTGCAAGATACAGAGAGATTATTGTGGGTGCAGATTTACAGTGCTGGTAATAGTAACTCCTGAAGTTGTATATTTTTTGGTATAAAATTGTCTTCATAAAGATTCTAGTTGTACATCCCACACACACAGGGCCTTAGTTTGTGACAGTCAAGAAAGAAAATCTGAATCTTGCCAACGAGTGGCTGTCATAAATGCTGCAAGCAGACTTCAGGAATCTGCTGGGTTCCATGCTGAAGGGGATTTTAGCAGTTTTACTGTCATCCCATAATGAAAAAAATGAAAAAGCTTTCATCAAGCACCATCTTTCTGGTCAGCTAGTAGCACAGAGATAGATTGAAGACTGACTAATTATTTTTTTCAGTGGGGGGGATCCAGTATGTGTACTGGCAAGGCAGCCTAGGAAAAGCATTTGTTTTGTAGGCTAAGGAAAAGCAAAGATTGGATTCAGTTTGCAGAGGCCTTTGAAGAGGAAGAAATGCTAAAATTACCAGAGGGAAGGAGAGTCTCTTGTGCTTTGAGTAGGTGAGAGCTAAAAATGCTGGGAACCTGAAGTAAAATGAGGGCAAATTTTCAGCAGAAAGATAGTTAAAGAGTCTGAACTTGCACCTCCCAAAGATGAGGCACTGGAAAATATGTATCATGGAGGTCAATGCATAAATCTTGATTGCAGAAGGAATAATAGGAACAGGCTTTTTTCTTGCTGAATGCTCTTTGGTTTGCTTCGACCATTTATGTGGGACACTGCAGGGCAGGTGAGAAGGTGAAATTTGGTCTGACATGGAATTGTTACTTTAGGTATCTGCTTCTTTTCTGTGCTTGTAACTGTTTTTCAGGTGCCTTGTCACTTGGGCCCAGGTCACTGCAGGTAGGCTGAGGCAGCACGAAGCCCTCTCTTATTTTAAAAGAGTCAGAGAGCACCGTCTCCTGGTTGTGAGCTTTACAAAGTGGAGGGACAAACTCCTGAGAGCTGAACAAGTGCCAGGAGGGAGAAAGCACAAGTGGCAGGAGCCCTCTCCAGGTAAAGCCTGTCACCGCTGGCGAGTGGCTGCAAGAGGACAGCAAGCCCTGCGCCTGGGATCTGCAGCCACTGTCAAACAAGTAAGAGAAGATAAAGGTCCCTATGAGACAGTTATTATTAACTCAGTGAGTCATGAGGCACTGAGATAGTGTGACAAGGCTTGTATAAAAACCTGGTTTGATTTGTGGTGACTGCTTAGTCCCTGCTGTGAAATTCTTCACAGACTGTGCACACAACTTCATCACCATAATCTGGCACTGATTGCAACAACCATATGGAGCACAGCAATAAGGAAAGGGGACATTTTGACCAGAGAGATGAGAGCACTCCTTCCTTTCTGCTCAAAGATAAGATGGGATAATCACTGTTCCTGCAGAGCAGAGTGAGCTGTCAGAGTTGCAGCTTTTTTCAAAAGACTCACAGCTAGCAAACTACAAAGAGGTCGATTGATTTGGAAGGGCTGAGTCAGTCCTGCTGGGATCTCATCTGTGCAGTTTCCAGCCTGGGGTCTAGCACATTAAGCTACCTGCAGAGCTGTGAGCCTCTAAGACTGGTTTGTGTGAGTGCTTGTGTGCATTGTGTTTACTCTTGGCTGCAGCTGTGTTATTTCTGTTTGCAGGCCTGCAACTACTGGACCAGAGCAGCTGCCTTTTCCCAGTGCCTACGGCAGCGCAGCACCCTCATAGGTGTTAGGAAAAGCAAGAAGATGTCTCTCTCTTGGTCCATGAGTAAGAATATTCTCCCTCTCTTCATTTCACAGACTCATGTGGGGAGTGTGATGATGAGGGAAGGGGATTAGTGTTTACCAGTTTAATGACTGGATTTCTCTGTGGAATAGGAGCTCGTGGCAGTCAAACTCGGTGGATTTCTTCTGTGTTCAGGAGCTGAAGGACTAAGGGCTCATGGCAGCTCTGATGTCTCCCTGATGTCTCTGGCTCCAAGGTTAGCTCCTGTGTTCCTCTTTTTTTCTTAGAAAGCAGAAGAGGCAGAGAAGAAGATTCAGCACCAACTGGATTTTTTCCGAGTGCCATTCAGCGCTGGTTGGTGATGTACAGGAGCCAAAACAGGGCTGAAAGGCTGCAGGAGAGACCTGGTGTAGTAGGGCCCTCTTGTGCACATGGAGGGATCCAGGAGAACACAGCAGAGGTGGACTTGGAGGAGTGGGCTAAGAAGTGGCTTGGGTAAGTGGAGTGGAGGGCTCTGGGCTTCCTCTTGCTCATACCATCAGGGAAGGGCTCCCTTGTATGGCTGGTAGAACTTATTTGCTTCTTTTGCCTGCAGGAGGAAATACCTGAGGTGGTGGCATCACACAGTGGTACTGCACCGGTGCCAGCATGACAGGAAACTGCTCTGCCTGGCAAGGGGATGGCATCAGTGGAGGGAAGCCAGCAGGGTGGTGATACTGGCTCAGGTGTTGGTGAGTGTCCAGTGCCACTGGGCTGGCAATGATGGGTGTTACTGGGCAAGCCTGCTCTGCCTGTAGCCTCACATCCTGGGAGATGAGACCTAGGGGCTGAACAAGTACCAGTATGCACCAGTATGCTGTGGCTAGTTTTTTCATTGTTCTTTTTGAAATGTCAGCTTGACAGACTGGCATATCCACAGATTTAGTTGTGCTTTGCCCTTACAGATGGGAAGCTGAAACAGGGTTTGTCTGGATTGTCTGTAGAGTGTGCAAAAAGTTCACAGCACTTATTACAATCTTTGTCCTCATCTGTGTTCCTGATACATCCCAGTGGTGTCCACAGCTTACCAAGAGCTGTCATTTGACTTCCCCTTCTGCTCATAGCCATGTTCTGCCTGGTTCCTGGATATTAGCTGTGTGAGATGTGCTCTGGCCTGCCCAGATAACAAGATGATGCCTGTATAGTGTGAGCATATCCACAATCACTGAGGAGCTGTGCTGGAGCACAATGGGGCATTGTTCTTTCCCCAGGGTACTGGGACTTAGCCACACTATGCTGGAGAGAGTAGTTCAGCAAGAGCTCTGTTATTAGTCTGCTCTGTTTGTTACCAATGGAAGGTCTTTTAAGAGGGACTCGGGATAGCAATTGGAACAAAGTGGGACTGGAGGGAAGTAAGGTAATTCGCCTGCCAGAGCCCCGTTAATCTGTGAGCTGCCTCTTTTCCTGGCAGGACCAGCAGCGGCTGATAGAAAAGGCCTGGAGGGTGTGGAGACAAAGATATCTGCAAAGCTGTGTGGTACAGAATCTTTTGAATGAGGAAGCCAGGAGCCTCCTGGCTCAGGTAAGCATTTATGTTTTCTTGAATTCAGTGAACCTCAGTGGTACAAAAAGCACCCCAAAGGGACAACTGGTGTTCCCTGTATCTCTCTCCCTGCACAATGCACCTGCTTACGGAGAAGTTGAATTCATCAAGGAATGGGACTTGACAGTAAAAAAGGAAAAAAGCTTCCAGATTTACATGGGTTCATCTATGGGTGTTTTTCAAAGCTTTGTGTCAGGAGTCAATTTCCCTGACATGTGCCCCCTTCCCTGCTGTTATTAGTGATGTTAATCCCCTAATCCCCTGCCTCTTGAGGCCCCACTCAGGGAAGAATCAGGCTCCACATTGGTGCAGAAGGACTGTGCTGACTTGCACCCAGGGGCAAGCAAATCACTATGAATTTAAGCAAGCAGGCAAAGCCTTAGAACTCATATCCACTTTGCTCCTCTGACTGCCTCCCAAAGATTCATGTAGGATTAGGTCCTCCTTTAAGGACACAGGAGCAGGTACTGAAATTAGAGGGCAGAGGGAACATTGGTCTTTCTTCTCTCACGTTGATTTGTACTCTGCATGGCCCATATTGTCTCCAAGAGAGACAGGGAAGGGTTTTGAGTGAAGGTTGAGGCAGCTGGTAGAGCCATTGCTAGAAGGAAAGCTGTGTTTATGGGTTCTGTGAGAATGGCTGCAGCCCCTCAAGGGGAACCTGAGTGTTTGATTTGTCCACTTTCCTCTTTCAGGCCTTTGCAAGGTGGTGGCAGCTCACAGCATTCCGGTGCAAGCACAAAGGATCCTGACTGGAGGGGGCCTGCCTGCAGCTGCTGCTCATTTCAGAGCACGTGGAGGATACAGCCCTGTCACAACAAAGAGCTGGTCCTGTGCCATCAACAAAGAGAACACTCTGCTCTTACAATAAAAGCAGTGCTGCTGGCCAGGATGACAGCTAAAGAACAGCTAGGAAGAGATGGTACCTAGTGAAAGGTCCTCTTTAAAGGACTTGTGTACTACCTCCTGAGCAGTGCAAATGGAGAAGTTACTTACAGTTGTGAGGTTGCATTCTCTTCTTCTCTGCACCCTGCTTTTGCTGGAGTTCTGATTAAAGGTCAAAAAAACCACCTTATAGGCTTTCCTTTTTACTCAGTGTTTTTTCCCTGGACAGGAGCTTGGTGTCAAAGGGGGAGTATACAAATACAGTCTTAGGGATAGGCAGGAGTTTGTGGGTGCTGTTGCTTCCAAAGTCTGGATTAGGTAGGTGCAAACACAGGTCTTTATTTTTAGATTTGGCTTTCACCCGAGAGGGGGTGGGGGTGGCAGATTTCCACATGGCTCCCACCTCCTCCCCCTGTCGAGGTCCATCAGCTCTTCATTAAGCCTTTCAGTGGGTGGCCAACCTCCTGACTGCTTCCTGCTGGTTCATTTCTGTGCTGAATGGGCAAGGTATGAAGAAACCTGCTGGGAACAGCTGAGCACCAAAAGCTTTGTTGAGGCGAGACAGGCGTGTCTGATCCCCAGCCTTCCCATTACTTGCCTCTATGATTGATGCCTTGTAATTACCCTGGATATATGAGCCCGGTCTCAGACAGCTGTAACAAGAGGGTCTGAAGAATCTGGAAAAGGCTTTTCTTCCTTGCCTGTTTGAAAGGGATGCTCACAGCATGGTGGGGATCTTGAAATCCCACTGGGAACTGCTCCGAGGTCGTTTTCCTAGCCTGTGGCAGCTTTGCAGGATTGTTAAATACACAAAGCAGCTTCAGCAGCTTCCCAACCCCTTATTCCAGTGCCGCGGGGCCTAAGGGTGGTAGGAGTCATTAGGTCAGGAAATATAGGTTATCTTTCCTGATCTAAACTTATCTTTCCCTACCGGCACTGGAAAAAAATACTGTCACCCTGCACCTTGTGCTAAAGTGTAGCTGGTTACTTTTGGTAAATTCTAGGATTTAAGCTTTATCTTTTCTGCCATGGAGCTTGGGCCATACTCAGGACATGCACTGAAAGTGAAGGCAGAACAGCCCCAGAAACAATTGATTTTCTTAAAGTTTTCCCTTGTGCCAGGTGATTAATTAGCAAACAACATGAGTCTGCTAGAGCATTTGTATGTATATATTTTATTGTATGTAATCTAGGAAATAATGTGATTCCTATTTAGTCTTATCCAGAATGGAAATTCCCATAGTCGTATTAAAAAGAAAACAGGAATACAATACAAGGAGAAAAGTCAGGAAGAAAATTTGAACCTTCTTCTGGAGTGAGTGCAAAAGTGCCTGATGATCAACTCTGAAGAAATACATTTTAGGAGTGCAATATAAAAACAATTTGACTTTCTTTTCCAGGTTGGTAACTTGGTAACTGCTGCTATAATCCCCTTGCATAGGTACAGCTGACGCGTGTTTCTGTCCTCCTGCCAGCATTTCTGGCATGGGAAAGTTACCAAAACCTCCTGTTCTCCTGTTACTGTAATTAGCATAATCGTGATTAGCAGCTCTTCATCCTGCAGACCCCGGCCTTTGGGCTTAGTCTGGAGATTCAGCTCAGAGGTATTCAGGTAGTTCCGGCTATTGTTCAGTGAGAATGGCTCAGGGAGCCTTTGTGTTTGGGACAGAAGAGCACTTGGTGTGGGTAGATTAGAGCACCACCCTGGTCATGGTTTGGGAGTGTGTTCCTTGTCAGCACAGGAGCTGCTGCTCTCCCTGAAGCCCGTGGAAGGGAGGAGGAAGTAAGATTAGAAAAATTTTCACTGCTGAGTTGGAGAGTTCAACAGCTCAAAAGTATCCTCCACAACCTGCCAGAGGCAGTTTTCTAGTGGGAAGTCATTGTCCACCAGGTTGACCAAGTAATAGTTGTCATGGATGTACTGGATGATCATACGAGAGGGTGACTCCTCTTCATAGAGCTTGGCCCATTGTTCGATCCACAGCGCAAAGGCCTCGTCCTGCCACGGGAACAAAAAAAGTTGGCAGTTGTGAAACCTCTTCATGTTACTTAGTTTAGGATACCCAGTGTTACACATGACTGGCCAGACTGTGGCTTGTTTCTTCTCATTATAAATGGCAAGAGTTGAGCAAGGAGCCTTGTGCTTTCCAGTCATTGGGAAGTGCCCAGAGCTGAAAGGAGACACATTTGCAGTACAATGGATGGCTCAATGCTGCCCCTGTGTGTGTAAGAGAGGAGAAGAGCCACTGTCCAGCACTCCCAGGCTTGGACAGTGCCAGCAGTGGTTCTCGATCCCCATTACTGGATGCTTTGTGTCTGGGAACAGCTCTTGTTGGAGCTGAGGGAGCAGGAGGAGCAAGACCTGTACCTCTGCAAGGCAATATAGCAACAGACCTCAACTGCGAGGAGTGTCAGAGACTAAAACTAAACCAGACACTCTGAACTTCCAGGGCATCACAGCAATGTATCCAACACGGGAGAACTCACCTTCCAGGAGAGGAAGCTTACAGGATCCACTACAGTGGGCTGGATGATCTCCCTTCCAGGGAAGATACCCCAGGTGACAGCATTGGGTTGCAGATCTGGAGCATTGGTGATATTCTGGCCCTGCCAAAGGAAGAAAAACCTTCCTGAAGCAACTGCTGGAGGAGAGACTGAGTGAGTTGAACAAAGTGTATTTACCCTCTCCTTGTTAAGGGACCAGACAGCTGCTGCACACCGCAGCTGCCTCGCTTTACTTTCCCTTCCCTTCATCAGCCCTCCTGTCTCAATATTTGGTATTTGTCTCTCTCCCAAGGTGGTGAAAGGAAAGTGTCCTGTGAATAACAGCCTTACCTTGACATTGACAATGTGGTAGTTCACTCGCTGCTCATACTTCTTCAGCACTTTGAGCAGTGCCGTGACAATTTCACTGGATGTGAAGAACTCGAGGTATGCCTGCAGGGAGGCATGGAGAAGAGGGAAGAGAATCAGAGCATGGCAGAACTGGACAAATATAGGTAAAAAAATGACATTTGTAGAGTTTGGGCTGCCTTGTATGTTACAAAGGCTTGAGCAAAGGACAGAGTAAATTAGTAAGTGAGCTACGGAAAAAAATAACTGGGGAGAGCAGAGGGAACAGCCCAGGAACAGTGCACTCAGGAAAGCTACATGCTCCCTGTTTGCATCTGCACAAACAGATAAGCAGGAATGAACTCCAGCGTTACCACAACTGCTGCACAAGGAAGCAGTCTGCCACAATGCTTGGAAGAAGCCTGACCTTAATCTTTATTTTACAGCAGGGCCTTGCCAAGGCAGCCCAGCCTGGTGAGAGCAGAACTTAGGGGTCTAAGATGGGCTCTCCCAAGCACCACTGCCTGTCCTCATCTTTTGTTCACAATTCTCCCCATGTGCTTATACAACCAAATTCTGTGCTTGGCTGCTCCCAACAACTGCTTCCCCTCCCCCCATTTCCTGGCTATTTTGTGAGATGATGGATTTCCCTCACCTCAGGGGAATTTTTTCCTTTGAAAACATAAATGCATTTGCCATCTGCTGGTCTCTGGCTTTACCGGTTTGGATCCCTTTTGAACAAGGATGCTTTGTTTTCCAGTATGAGCTACTTGCCTGGCATTCACCTTGATGGGATATTCCTATCACAGCCATTAGGCAAGGCTCTAGGGTCTGAAATGCCTGACAGGGGGAGACAGGCATGGCAGGCATGACTGTTTGCAGGCCAGGGAAGGAACGTGACAGTTGTCTGAACAGCACAATGCATGGGATGGGGGCAACTGCAGAGAACTCTGCCATACAGAAGGACAGAGGAAATTTTTTAATACCCCTGTATCATCATGAGATGCTGGGTGGTAGACATACTACCTCATTGATTTTCATTTTGGAAAAATCTGGGGGCTTTGTGTATCACTGAATCAGATGCAGGGGGCCAGCACACGTGTATATATAAAATGTCACAGCCCTGCTCTAGAAATAAGTTACCAATAATTACTTGCTCAGAATAAAACCTTGAAACTCTACAGATGTTCAATAGATGTTCTGAGGTGGGGGAAACAACAGCTGTGAAGTCAGCCATAGAGATGGCATTATGGATCTTATGACACCAAAGGAGCTTTGCCTTATTTCACCAAGAGCACATCAAGATAAGGATTATGTGGATGTAAGCCTGGGACCTCCCAGCCTAACAGAGACCAAACTAGATCGAACTCTTTGCTGCCTAGCCCAGAGTAATGCAGTACCTTTTGGAAAACATAACCTCCACTGGGCCCCCAGCCTACAATGGGGTCTGTGGATGGCTTGCCATTGATGTTTGGCTGGGAGTTGATGGTCAGGATTCCTCGTCTGTTGACTTTCTCCAGCTGGTCCTTCAGAAGGTTGGTTTCAGTAGCAAGAGGGTCGTCATTCCAAGGCATACATGTAACCTACCATGAGGAGAAAGGATGGCTCATAGTGATGTAACAAACCTTTGATTACCATCTTGGTGTTGAAGGAACTCAGCAGTGCCTTAACAGTCTCAAACACACCTGCTTCAGGAGAGAATTCCCAGGTTTGGTTCAAGAATTAGGATATGCTCAACTGTAAGAATGACTGCTGAAGTCAATCAATACTGGTCCTGTCATAATGTAGCACCTTTCCTTTTATGTTTAGCCTTATCTGTGGCTGCTGGACCCCCTTCAACCAGTGTGCCAGCAAATCCTTTTGGATAGAGAAGTGCCAATTCTTCTTCAGAAAAATGATGTGATACCAGGAGCAAGAGGAAGTGTGCACTATTGTTTGTGCCCCACTAACCATCCCTTCCTGGGCTCCCACTCACCTTGTACCCATTCCTGTTGGGTTCTCCAGTGATGTAACATGTGAACACCTCAAAGACACTTTCCTCACTAGTCAGTTCTTCTCCCCACATCTTCAGAAGCTCCTCCCGGGGAGACTTGCTCTTCAGA